AGGTGTTTTACTTTAGTTAGATTAGTGGTTTTCCATTCATGACCAGCATTTCTGTTCCTGTTTTTATTATATTTTCCATTGGATTCTGTCTTACCGTCTTTTTTGTAAGGTGAATTCCCTGGGAATGTGTTTGTCTGTGTTTGAAAAATTCTTATTTTACTGTCTGCCGGCACTACCAAAGAGCAAAAGTCTTGCTTTTCCAGGAGCAATTTAAAAAGTTTCTAGACAGACAGCACATGAGGGTGTTTAAAAGATAAATTAAACAAATGCATGTATGGAAATTAGCTATTGCTTTAATTAACAGTTAACATGAAAAACTAAGAACCGCTCGGTAGTTGGACATTTTACCATCAGGACAATAACATAAGCATTTTTTGGTGTACAGACTTCTCTTTTATCAACATTTAGTCCTTCCCTCAACTTGAGAACTATGTTCTTTCACCTGATCTGTGATCACATAAATTCTGGAAGCTCTTATACACAGACCACTGAAAAAATCAACAAAAGCAACCAGGAGCAGGTTCTTTGTGATCAAAATCAGAGTGGTGTGGTTGTACACACTACTGGGGAGAGGCAGAGGACACTAAGCTGCGTAGTACAGGATACAGCTCTGCAAATACATTCTGGCTAAGGCCAGAATGGCCAGGGTGGATCTCCACCCTGGACCTGACGTACGTATCTGACACCTTGCCCAAGCTGTGCCACACACTGGAGTGAAATTTCTGTGAGCATAATTCTGTACTGTCTTGGCAAAGGCCTAGAATAGTTACATAGATATTTCCCCTCTCTTCTGTGGTTCTGCACCGCATTGGTCCGCTCTAGGAAGGAGCAATACCTGGGCACAGAGCACCGCTGTCATAGCTGGGGCCCCTCTGTTGAGTTGGAGCTTATGGTGATTGATTGAGAGAAAAACCTCAATCTCATTTAACTGAGCAGCATTTAACTCCCACCTAATTTTTCCACGTTCGTGCTTTGTACCTGTATGACTAGCTTCCCACCCATCTCCTCCAGTCAAGCTGTCTGGCCTTCACTGTGCTGCTTACCCACAGAGGGAACACAGCATTTTTGGTGGTGCCCACGCTCATTGCGCTCCCGTCGTCCCGGAGAGGAGGTATTTGGCTCTGTCTGTGTATTAGCTTCAATGGGTCTGGAACCGGGTCGCCCTTCAGCCCAGGTGCCCAGCAAGGCCGAACACCAAGGCAAGCACAGTCCGAGATGCTTGAGAAGCATCCCCCTTTAGCACCCGGGGGATTTTTTCCATACCTTTATTCACACTCTAGACTCCTAATGTAAAGAGCGTGTGCACATTAGGTGGCTGCTAAACATGAACTGAAATAAGGCAAAACATTGTTTCTCAGGAGGTAATAGTGAAGGGAGATGATAACTCAGACATTTTACTACTGTTATAGCACAGCCAAGAGCAGTCTGCAGAGCAGTTATTTTACTACCAGCAGTGCACTCTATCCAGTTCCAGTACAGCCAAGGAGGTGTGAGGTGTTTATGTGTTTCCAGCTCATGCTTCTTGAACAGTTTGGGCCACATTTTGCAAAAGAGAATACATAACAAAGTAATTTTAGGATCATTTTCTCTTCCCTTTATATAGCAATTATTCTAGTATTAGTAAAACATTTAGCATATATTTATATTTTTAATATGATGTATATGCTGTATTATAAAAGATTCAGTACTGTCTGAACAGTCAGCTCTGAAAAATATAGTAAATATGACATATCAGCAATGATTAATAAATCACTTGTATTTCTAGATTGCGACAGAAGACATCTGGCCAAATATTTCATTTGCTGAAAAAAGAAAATCTGGAATGTTTAAAACTATTTGTAAATTAACCTAAATTTGGGTTAGATGACATTTTTTTATACAGGTCAAAATATTTCTTTGTTGCACATATTATTTAAATCATTCTTCCATGTCTAAATAAAATTTTGTTTAGTTTTTTTGTAATTTAATTCTTAAGGATCTTGAAATATAGTAAAATATAAATGAGAAGTTTCATGAGAAGTTTCATCATGTATGAGTTCCTGGTTTTGTCTGAAAAATAATGGTGTTTCATTTCGGCAGAAAAACTGAAAATATCTGGAATAGTGTTTCTCAGACTTAGGAGATATGTATGGTGTTCTTCTCCAGCTAGACAATGAACTGAAATAGTTTTTCTATAGCTTGAATTACCTGGTTAACACAAGAACTGAAATAATTTATACAAGAACTGAAATATTTTGGTCTTATGCACAAATATTAGACTCCATTGTATTTTATTTTGGTTTCAAACTGTAATAATTTTGACCTTAGATTTCTGTGTATGTGTTTAGCAGTGAACAATTTCTCTCTTCCCTAGTGATTTTAGCAAAGGCAAATATTCAGTATCTGTAAGTAAACACTGAAAATCACTTGCTTCATTACACTTCTGGGCCATTAAATATTTTCTTTCATCTATTTAATTCTTCTCTTCTCATTGCCTCAGCAGTGTGACTCGATCAGGCCTGTGTTATCTTTCCCGGATCCTTTTTTGAGCATTGCGTAGTGTGCAGGAAT